CCACAGTTTGTTGATCCATTCGTGGATCGATGGGCACTTGGGCTTCTTCCATGACCTGGCAATTATGAATTGGGCTGCAATAAACATTCTGATACAAATGTCTTTGTTGTAATGCGATTTTTGGTCATCTGGGAATATACCCAAGGCATTTCTTCTTAAGCAACTTAATTTAATTGCTTTGATAATATGTATTGACCAAGTTCTACTTATTAAGGGGGAAAAAACCTTACTTCATTGCTTTTCTTCTTCTGATGGAAACTGAAGACTTAAAAATAGTTATCAATAGTATTTGGTTAAGAAGAATTTGCTTAAATTTTACAGATAAAACATGCATTTACTACATTTTTCTTTTTGCCAATTTATCAATCCCAGAGTGGCCACAAAGGTTTGCATATGAACATGATTCTGCTGGGTTTCTCTTTCCATTTTTGCTAAGAGATGAATTCAGTTGTAGAAATCGAGTGTATTTTATGCCTGAAACATGTTAGTTCAGGAATTTCATTTGGTTCTGTAAAGATACGCATCTACCACGGATGGCCAATGCAAACATCAGGCTCAGCCAATTGGCCTCTGACCCAATTTGGTTCTCCCATCTTCTTCTGGCTTACAAAATAACTGCCTTTGAGGAGAAAAAGAGTCAAAGTAATACTTGGTTTGAATGGTTATTGACTATTTTCTTGTGAGACTTAGTGTATACTCATTTTTTATGGCTAAAATATATCAACATATATTGCATAAATACCACAGAAGACCAAACACCAAATGTTTCTTTAAAGTATCAGAAGAAAACACGTTTTGTTTAGACCCAGCATCTGCCCAGATGAATTTTGTTTCTGTTCTATGACTTCCTCAATTTTTCCTTATTAATAAGGACAGATCTGAAAATAATAGCTATTTGAGTCACTGAGTGGTCTTTTACTAAAGTTATAACTCTGCCGCCTAGTGTCCTGCCTTCTATTAGGCAACAGAGGAGTACAGAGATTAATTTAATCTGAAGCCAATTTCTACAGTGACTTGTATAATGTATATCTAAAGATGGAAAACCAAGTTTTATGAGACTAGCATTTCTTGTCAGCTCCCCACTCCACCCTATTCTAATTGAGGCTAACCCTTAAGTTGAATAAAGAACAATGAGTTCTGTAGTTAAAACAGCTCACTACATGCTGCGTCTTGCCCTCCATAAATGGGAATAGACAGACTTAAGCAGAGAATCTGAATTGGAGGGTGAAATACATATTCAATTTTTGAGAGGGGGTGAATGAGAGCCATGTTTTAAAACAGTGTGTAGCATTTCCTTAGTCTGCCTTTAGGACATTTTCCTAAGACATGTAAGGAACAGACCTCTTTATAATAATATATTAACATTTATTAGTATGTAATTTTAATATTGTGCCCACTAAAAATCATATTCCTTTTGAGAGATGAAGGAATGGAGATGACTTCTAAATTGTAAAGCAGAAACTTCCTGGGGGCAGTTGGAGCTCCAAGAGGAGGGTTGGGCTGGGAGTATAAATTTGCCAGGGGTCTGTGTTTGGTGACAATGGAAGCCACAGGTGGGGACTAGATTCTCTTATCAAAGAATATAGGGTAGGAGAAGAAGAAAAGAACCTAGGATTGAGCCCCACGAAGCTCGCGCTTAATGTTGGATGGAGAGAATTGAATCTACAAACATTCTGGGGAAGCCACAGCCTGAGAGGCCACAGGAATGCCGGGAGGTGTGAGCTCTGGAAGTCACAGGCAGCTTCTAGAAGCCTGTTTCCAGGGGCAGGGAGGAGCCAACTTGTCAGCTCCTTCCGATAGGTGGACTATGATGTGGACTGACAAGTGTCCCCTGGGTTCAGCAGCAGGAGATGTCAGTGATCTTAGGGAAGCTGCTTTTGTGGGCAGCTGACGTGGAGAACAGACCTGTGTGGGTTGAGCCAGGTGGGAGGAATGAGGAAAGGAGATCTCGATTACTCTCATTCTCAGAACAGTGGTACGTGGTGAGTGCCATTGATTTTCTCTAGGTTAGAGAGGAGGAAGGAGGGCCCTGGAGCTGCCCAGTGGCTTGCCCGGCGTGCTCTGTAGTTGGTCAGTGATGGACTAACCGAAGAACCTAAGGGCAGGGCCTGACCACCGTCCAGCCCACCGGCTGGGACTTAGCTTGATACAGGTATTCCGTGTTGCATTTCACACCTCCCTGCAGATGCTTTAATCAATTGTGTGGTTTTTTTTAAGGGGCCACTTTGAAACTTTCTTCCTGAAAATTCTATTCTAACAAGTTTACCCTGATCACAATTTTAGCAAGTGGCCTGGGTTAAAAAAGACCAAGACAGAAAACAAAAACAAAGCCTTATCTCCTGAGAAAGTGTAGTCTGTGAGCTCATCCCGCTGCAGAATGTAGGCTGTGTGAACCGAAGGTGAGTTGCCTAAAGAACTTCTGAAGCGCTGGCTGCAGCAGAAATGAAGTCTGAGGGAGGTTTTGTTTACACTGCAAGGAGGAAAAGGTGGGCAGGCTGGGGTAGCAACATAGTAAGGCCAGGAGAGTGATAGGAAAACTTCCTCCAAACGGTCCCCCTGTAGACACTGACTGGCTAAGTTTCCTGGAATAATGTTAATTCTGTCCTCTCTTGCTTTTAATAGGACATAATGACTACATGTGTCCGGCTACCAACCAGTGCACCATTGATAAAAACAGGCGGAAGAGCTGCCAGGCCTGTCGGCTGCGCAAATGCTACGAAGTGGGGATGATGAAAGGGGGTAGGTACAGCTCACACGGGGACCTTGGGGACGGCCTTGGCCCCTGCCCAGTGCTGGCTATTTCCTCTTGCATAACAACCGTGAGAATTTAGTGTTTTCTCTGCTAATTAAACGTTTTTCCTATTCTTATTTTTCTTTGCAAGAAAAAGTGTTTTCATAATACAATTTTGTTTAAGAAATAAAAGTAGCCGGAACTGTAAATTCTAACATGCCATTTTGTGTTTTAGACTTTCAACATAAATAATTATGTTTTAAATCAAAGGTGTGTGGGAGGTGGTGGTGGAAGGAAAGAAAGGCAGCTCAGGGAATTAGTCACGAAATCTTTTTCAGTTACCGCTTCTATTGCAAACGCTAGAAAATGGTATCTGAGGATAAGCTTTCCCCAAATGGAGACCTGCAGATGCAAAAGCTAAATAGCTAATCTATGACCTTCTCATCGCTGGCCATTTCTTGGGGAATTGAATTTCAGTCAAAAGGCAGTTTTCTCCTTCAGAAGTTGAGTCAACCAGATGCTTTCATAACCTCAGTGTCTGGCTTGGTTTTGGGGGGCTCTAACAAATCCCCAAGCGGGTGCAGGATTGTGCCCTTGGGCTTGTATCTTTCTGGCTGTGTGTGTGTGTGTGTGGTTTTCTGTCTTTTCTTGTATCCAATAGTCTAGTTTTTTTTTTTTTTTAAATCAAGAAATGTAGAGTCTAGTTCTAGGTCTGGGGGTATTAGGAGCTCCGTCAGTGTGGTTGCCTGATTGAGCTGCTTGTATTCTTGGGAATCTCGCCCAAGGACCGTTGCTTCCATTCTCAACACAGTGGGAGAGAAAACATGGGAAATATACAATGAAACCAACTGTTTCGGGATGACACGGAGGGAGGAAAGGGCCGAAATGTGCCGTCTGTGGATTGTAGTGGGGAAGAGTTTTCTGAAGGAAGCAAGGCTTGAGTAAAATAAGGAGAACAGAGTTTCAGTGGTAGTGATTTTTACAAATAGAGGGCAGCTCACCTCACCTTTAACTCATTCATACTCGGACAAAGGAGGAAGGGGAAGAAAGATGAGGGGTGGAGATCTTAAATTCTCTTGTTGAAGAGATGAAATTTGAATCTACACGTTGTGTGAGCTGTGGCAATAGCTGTATGTCTCGAACGTCCGAAAATGCAACTTTAATTCAAAGCATAATTAATTCCAAGGATTTAACAGCTACGTTCAGAAAATGACACTTTGAGTATAAATGGATTAAATATTTAAGGAATTCATCTTTCTTTGTACTGCTGGAGAATTAGTCAGGCTTAATTAAATTCATAAGAAGCTTCTTAAGGTAACTTGATAAGTGACAGGAATGTAACAGCTTTGAAACAATAACTTAATCTGAAACAGGAGAGTCCACATTTAATATTTTTCTTTGGTGATTATAGGTTCATTAAGCACAGGCACTTATATTCTCTCTTAAAGCTGACATAAGCACCCGTGAATATGTCCAAAACATCAAAAAAAAAAATTCAAGAGTGCCCATATATCGACCCCACTAAATAAAAGCAAATTCTGTTTTTTTCCTAATGAATATCCAGATAAAGTTTGGCTGCATAAATATAAACTATACATACTCATTTTTAATCTAACAGAAATTTTAATATGCAAAGGCATGATAAAAATCTGTCCGCGATTTCCAAATCAGAATTCAGATAATTTGATGGCACATCCATGTACTTGTGTATGTTTGTGACTGTAGAAACCTGTGTTAGTTTTCTAGGGCTACCATCATGAAATACCACAGACTAGGTGACATAAGCAACAGAAAGTAATTTTCTCACAGTCTGGAAGCCCCAGATTGAGGTGTTAGCAGGTTTGTTTGTACTGAGGTCTCCCTTCTTGGCTCGTAGATGGCAGCCTTCCGTCTGACCCCTCACACGGCCTTTTCTCTGGGCACACACATCTGTGGTGTCTCTTCCTCTTCCAGTCCTATTGGGTCAAGACCTCACCTTCATAACCTCATTAAATCTTAATTACCTCTTTACAGACGCTGCCTCCCAATACAGTCATACTCTGAGATCCAGAGAGTAAGAGTTTCTACATAAGACTTTGGGGGGTACAAAATTCAGTTCATATTGATACCCCATAGAGATTATTCAGTGATTGTTCAGTATTTCTCTGCATACAGTGAAAATGTGTCTTTCTGGGAGTTTATATATGGACATAAGTTCTAAGTCAAGCTTTAAATTCGTAAAATTATAGCCTGTGAGAACATTTCATTTTAATTACAAATATAGAGTGTTTGCTGTAAAGCAATATAATTTATAAGTATTTTCCAGGACATAGGATACCACATGTAGCCTCAGGGTACTTTGTACAACTACTCCTTGAAAATCCCACTGAATAATGACTTAATTTACAACTGGAAGTCTAATTATAACTAACTACAAAATTTGTAGCTGTGACTGAACAAATTTTTACAACATTTTCCAAGAGGTTTCACAACAATCCACTTTCTTAACCAGGCTAGTTACCAATTAGGATTACAGCATCTTTACATAGAAATGAAAGGTAGGTTTCAGATAGAAGAGAACCACATACTTACTCCCTACTTTCACAGCAAGGCTGAACAAATTTACTGAAGGTGTATTCGAAAGACGTAAATCGAAATAAATAACAATCTTAATCTGTTGTGATGCCTACTGCCCCTGAAAATTCCAACATCATTACTAGGTTTGGTTCTAAACCTTGAGAGTTCAACAGGGTGCAGGGTTTAAGATGTGCAGTAGAGGCTGCGCTTTTCCATTTTAATGAATGATCTCTGTGCCGAGGTTGTTTGTCTCTTCACCCATCTCCTTCTCCTCCAACCTAAGATTGGAGGCCGTATGTCTGTACTTCAGGAAAGCCTTCCCTGCTCCCTCACAGTTTTGGAGGCTAGACGTCCAAGATCAAGGTGCTAGAAAATTCACATTCAAGCTTTCCTAGCAAACAGCTTTCTATGATCTCTTGCCACTATTATTAGTTTGTTCAATATCCCTTTATCTATAGTCCATAAACACCATGACGGCAGAGGCTCTTTCTGTTCAGTTTACCGATCTATTAAACAAGTCCCAAAGCAGGTGTTCAAGAATCTTTTTTCATGAATTAGTGAATTGATTTGACTCACTTAAATAGTTATTTCTTTAGGATTTTTTAAATGTGAGCCATTGTAAATCAAGCAATCCTGGATAATATCCTAATCTCTTCCATTAATGTCTTCATAGGACAAAGAGAACATTTGCATATGAAGTGGCAAATAAAAATCCAGAAGACAGGGTGGTGCCTATGGCTCAAAGGAGTAAGGTGCTGGCCCCATATAGGGAGGTGGTGGGTTCAAACCCGGCCCGGCCAAAAACTGCAAAAAAAAAAAAAAAAAAAAAAAAAATTCAGAAGACAGGTTGACACTGTCTAGGTTGGAAGATGGCTCAAATAATGAAAAGTCAGACTGGAAGTCCAGAGCTTTAAGCAATCATTCCTGGGTTTACGCCAACCCAGAATATTACTCAGACCATCTGACTTTCAAGATATATGCTGTTACCCCAGAATGTGGCATTCTAGCTGAGTTTGTTGGAAAGAGGAAAAATTTGGAAGTCAAACCCTTGGTTCAAATGCTGGCTCCTCAAACTTGCTGAGCAACCCCATTAAAGTCACTTTTATGAGCGTCACTGTTCTAAGATATAAAATGGAGATAAATAATTTCTACTCAACCAGTTTGTCATGAAAATCACAAATTATAACGTAATGAAAATACTTTACAAATTTAAAGTAACACACAATGGTTAGCTGTTATGTATTTTTCTGTCTCAACAATAATCTCTGTTTTATCATATCTGAGTTTAGTTTATCATATCTGAGGTCTGCCTCTTTTTTGGAACAAAAGTGAATGGAATGGCAATTTTGTCACCTCTGATAGGATAAATATGTAGTTACTTTGTGGCAAATAAAAACCTGGCTCTGGCACATAGGTTTTCTTTTTTTTTCCCCCCTTATCTGATTTCTTTCTGATCTCATACACTGGATGTAGCTGTATGATGAGTGAGATTTGTTGTTTATCATTTTACAACGTCAAAGATTTACATAAAATTGTGAAAGTTCTCCCCTCACGATAGATGCAGAGGCATGTCGGTGGCAAGGTTTTTCATTTTGCAGATGAAGAAATTGGCATGTGGCAATTAAGTGATGTGCAGAACTGTTACTCTGCCCATCCTGGTCCTGTTTCCTAGAGATGCATCAAGAAGAAATTGGAGATGACGTAGAACGCATCAACTAGTCTTTATTTATTTTGATGATAGTGGTATAGTGTAATTTTTAGAAACATTCCAAGATAATGAATATATCACAAAAATGTTAGAACTTTAAAGTAAGAACATCATATACTACTAACACAAATGAGGAAATATACATGTCTGTCCAGAATCACTTAGAAGTCCAAGGAAGAATTGGAAAATAACATATTTCCCTGCTGCTCAAGTTTAATATTTACCACCCTCAGTTAATTTGTTTGTTTTTCGTTGTTTGATGGGATGAGCTCCCAAATTAGGGCTTGGGATTGGAATCTCATTTAAGCCTATACTGGCTTTTATGAAAAGTAAACAACCAATTACTGATGTTAATGATGGTGGAACCAAATCAGTTAAAAAAAGTAAATGTGAATTTCTTTCTTGGAATTGCTCAATAATTGCAGAAGAATTGTAGGGATATTCATGTTTGGGGATTTTATTTAAGAAAAATATCAAAGAAAACCTGATTACTATTTACCAGATTCTAGATGTTTTAAGTGGTAACTTACACATTTATGATAATCAATTTTTTCTTTTATGAAGTCACATCATAGATTCTTAATTTATTCAGAACTTTTCTCATATTATCATTTTTCATTTGAAAACAAACATACTGGATTGAATAATGGAATCATATGTGGACCTTAAAGAATAATGAATCCAAAGTCTTCAACATTTTAAAGCAATCAGATTCTTCTTCCCAAGTAGGAACAAATAGTCTAT